ATTTTCTTAAATGCCTACATCTATCTTTAAAGCTCTTTGGACAGTTCTTGATAAAGAAGAGCAACGTAGTTTATCTGGCTTGTTTTGTTTTCGTCTTCATGTTCTGCGCCTGCTGGGAAATTTAATTAATTCCATGCCTTGGTCACATGGTAATAGCTGTAAAGTAGGTGCTCAAAACAGGCACCTGCGTCACTAGGCACTCACTCATCCAGTACACAGCTCAGAGCTGTTCATTCATTTTCTACCAGAACAACACAGGAGTTATTTATTTTCAAAAAATAGTCTATTACAGCAACATCTGTAGACTTTGAAAAAAATAGATAGATAGATAGATAGATAGATAGATAGATAGATGTACATTTAAAACAGTGTGAAAATAATAGGCGCTTGATTCCTTAAAATAGACATGGCTATTATAATATTTAATGCAAATGAATTATTTATTTAAATGTTTAAATTTAATTAAATTGCAAATGAATACTTTTCATATCGTCACACAAAACACTAATAAATATAAACTTTCTTTTAAACAAAATTACTGCTGGAGTGCGGCCACAGGTCTGCTGCCATCTTGTGGTGAAATATAAAATAACTTTTTGTGTGCACATTTTATATTGTGGTCAACGGCGCTGGCGGGCGCATTTTATGGATTTTAAGACATAGGCCGGGAAAGTTGCACTGCATTTGTTTACTTCTTCACTCCCTAAAATACCTGTGAGTTGGGTTTTTTTTACATGTACTTCTATCAGTGAATACTTAATAGTGCATTTGGTCAGTATAATGAATAATGAGTTACTTAGAAGAAGCAGTAAAATAAACGGCACAGCTGGTAAGGTCTTTGGTCATTGCGTCTTTTGGTAAAATGGTCATGTTTGTCCCCAAATCCACAACACTTTAGGATCTGACCTCTGCCCTGACAAGGAAAATAACCCTGAAGACGCCGCTGATTTCATCTCCAATGGATACTGTCACAGAGTCATCCATGGCCATAGCCATGGCAGTGAGTACATTGAAGAACTCATAAATGTTTTGTTTCCCCAGTTGGTATCCTGTATATCTCACAACATATTTTTAAAAAACTCTGAATGATAATTAATGCTTCAATGCTGTTTCTGACTGCATTTAGTTGATGGGTGGAATTGGAATAATACATCATAACTGTACAGCAGAGTTCCAGGCCAATGAGGTGCGCAA